AGTTGATCATTTATATCATTCTTCATATTATGTTGGTATCTTTTTTTGAAAGCAACAAAAATTTGGGTACAATTTTATCATTTTAGATGGTTTTAAAGCACTTATTCCTGGATCACACTCTAAAAAATGTTTGAAATTTCTACCTTGGGTAGGATATGAGGTATACCCTTATTATGGTATAATTTTCTACCTTAGGTAGAAAATTATACTTTATTTATTACCTAAATTATATTGCAAAAAATGATTTGTTATACATTTTTCTAACTTAAAGGTACAACTTTTTAACTTAAAAGGAAGAAAATTATACATTTAAAGGTATAAATTTTTCCCTTAAAAGGTAGAAAATTATACCTTACTAAGGGTATCACATATCCTTTTACCTCGTTTTTAGAGTGCAGTACTAACAATAAATGTTGTGCAAAAATATTTTTTTACTTTTATTATTAAGTAAAAAATTTGTTCAGTGAAAAAAATTTATTTCAAAAAAAAATAAAAATTTTAATTTGTATAAAAAGCTACTTAAACTAAAGTTCAAAAGTTTGAATATTACAGAATTCTATTTCAGAATAGCAGTGTATTACAGAATTCTATTTCAGAATAACAGTGTATTAAAAAAAGATTACAGAATTCTATTTGAGAATAACAGTGTATTAAAAAAAGATTACAGAATTCTATTTCAGAATAACAGTGTATTAAAAAAAGATTACAGAATTCTATTTCAGAATAACAGTGTATTAAAAAACGATTACAGAATTTTATTTCAGAATAGCAATGTATTAAAAAAAGATTACAGAATTCTATTTCAGAATAACAGTGTGTTAAAAAAAGATTACAGAATTCTATTTCAGAATAACAGTGTATTAAAAAAAGATTACAGAATTCTATTTCAGAATAACAGTCTATTAAATTAGTTTACAGAAATCTATTTCAAATTTTGACTATAAGTTTAAGCTATTATATTTAATGCAGAAAAAAAATCTCTCCCTTTATGAAGTTGTTTCGAGAGAAACAACAAAAAATCTAAGGTTATCTTTAACTAAAATAAATTGTCTCCTAAATATTCTCTAGTTTCAAAGTCTGTTGCAGTTTATGATGATATACTTAACTAATTTAGCTAACTTTATTACAAATGGTGCCACTGAATGACAAATGTTTCTTTTACTTTAGAAAGCAATCAAAATTTTTAAACTAAACACCTTTAAAGTTGTTGCTTGAAACTTGTGACGAAGTTTCAGCAAATTGCAAGTTGTTGAAAAGGCATTTTAAATGATTTATTTATACCTGATTCACCATGTTAAAATAAGACAACTTGTTACTGTCTTATTCAAATATGATTTATCCAGCTTAACACGTACAGAGAAAAAAAGATATATGTAGAAGGATGGTATGTTTATACTGTGGAATCATATTGCTTATATTTTCTATGAAGACAGAGAATGTGGCTTTTGTATTTTACCTAAACGTACTTTTGAGCATATAAAGTTGAGAATATATTTATTAAGAAATGTTTAACTTGCTATCTAAGTAATAAATAAAGTTTTTGCTGTATTAAAAATTTTATTATAATATGGAATAGCTTATTTGAAAATTATTTTTGGCATAAGCAATCTCTTAGTGTTTGTAAGGATAACCCTTCTTTAAAAGACTTTGGCTTCAATAATAATACAATAAAAAAACTAAAAAGTATTTGTAGTAGCTGAAAATGTAGTGTATTTAGCTACACAGGTAATATAAAGTATTGTAACACAAATATAGTTTTAAGTTAAAAAAAGATGCTAAAAGCAAATAAAAGTTGTTTGTTTACAAGATAATGTTATTAAATTTGTTTAAAACTAAATAAGTATACTTTTTTATAAAATATGCATAAAATAATAGTGATGTCATTAATTTATTTTTTTTCAAATTGTGAAGACAATTAAATTTTTTTTATTATTCAGTCTTGTATTGCTATTTTATTATAAAGTTACTGCACCATAAAACTATTAAATATACATTAAGTATTTATTTTACCTCTTCTGGATTTAATAAACCAATAATATTTTTTTTAAATATGTAGCTAGGAAAATAGCCATTTTAGTAGGCTCAAGTCATATCACTTCCTCTTCAATGTTTATGTTTCAAAATAGTAATAGTGTTAATTGATGTTTTTTACATATTAATTGAGTTTGAATCTTGAAATTTTTATCTTTTACAATATAAAATCTACAAACTTGTATATAAACTGTTAGATGATCATGCACATTTAGTAGCAAGAAAATATGATAAGTACTAACTGTAGAATAAGAGGTACCAAAAACATTCCCACTAAGTCACAATAGAACATTTTCTTTAGTAATGTAGTGGGATACATGCTTAAACTTTATAATATTGTTGATAAAAGAGGTACCAGTCAGATAAACAAAGACAAGATTTGCTACTTAAAAACTTTATAGAAAAGTTTTTAAGCAACAAATTTTGGCTAAAAAAACCTGCCGTAAAATTTGCCACAAAACATCAAATAAAATTTTTAGTGAAAAAGCATTTTGATTGCTAAAAATAATTTTAATGGAGCTTTGTATGCAGATCCTATTTCTTTTGGAATTTTAATAATTTGATTATCTCTGATAAAACACTATGTTTAATACAGTTTTGTTTCAGAAAATATTTTGTAGAACCTGCGTTAAAATTTTCAGCATTTCTATAAATGAATTAGTTATACTTTTACAAGGAACTAAGCTGCAATGACTTCTAAAATACTTGAAATATTTATACTTGATTCTAAATTCAGCTTATAGCTGGGTACTATTAATTTGAAGTAAGCTTTACTGCAATCTGAATTATATAATTTTGAAACAGGATAAAGAATTATCTTTGCTTTCTTTTATTTTTACTAAATTGTTTATCAGTAATCTTTTCCTTGTGTTTAGTGTTGAGGCAACGAGTCACCTTGCCATATACATTGTTTCTTGCAAAACAAACACATAAATATACTTTCTTCACTTTGGTTAGGACAAAATAAATTAGGTAACCTAACATTTGAACCAAAATTGAGGCCTGCTTCCAACAAATAAACTATGCGGTAGTGGTGTAGTGGTAGAGCGCTTACTTCATAAACGAGTGGTTCCGAGTTCGATCCCCACCACATCCCTGGTAGTACCGCGCTCAACTCATTTCTCCGCGCAGCAGCCTTGTTCGTCAAGGTTCGTTCTTCCAAGTTATAGAGTTAAGAGAGGGTTATAACCACAAATAAGTAGCCTCCTCATCTGTAGTGGTCTTCTCGGCCTTGAGGAGGTGAATTAAAATAAAAAAAAAATAAAAAAAAAAAAATACCAACTCAATAGCAGCTTAAACAGCATCAAACTCATTCAAAATATCAAAGTCTGAGCCATAAAATGTCATTTTAAAAACATTTGATGCACTCTCAGTCCTGTCACCTCATAAAGTTTAAGTTATTTTACAAAATCTATAGACAATGGCCCACGTTTCCAGACTAGTTAAATACTAAGACTATTTTTTAACTAATAATAGATATTCTTGTAACTAAGTTTAAATAAAAAAAATAGAAAAAAGGGTTTTAAGTATGAAAAAAGATCTCTAACTGAATGAAATAATTTATTTTTTATATATGATTTTTTAATTTAAAACAATCTTTCATTTCAATGTAATTTTCTTTTAAAAGAGTTTAAAAGAAAAATATTCAATGTAATAATTTATCAAAAATACATCTAAATAAACCAATATGAAAAGATTTTAAATCTGTTTTTGTGATACTGAAATCAATTGCACAATTTCATTTTTCTAGACAATCTTGTTTTTGTTATTTTATTTTTTTTTTTTTTAAATACGGAAAATATCAGGAGAATGTATAGACTTTTTTCCAATAAAATTTACTTTTTCTTTTATAAAATTTTATTTTAAATTTATAAACGTTAAGAAGTTAAATAAGTTTTTATTTCAGTCTGTTTCTTGACAAAAAAAAGATATATTAACTTTATATATGTTTATAAAGTTAATTAGAAAATAGATTTTTTTAAATATATCAAACCTGTTTTCTGTTTTTACACAAAAGTTATATAAATTTTATAAACTTTCTGTATGTTACTTGACATAAACTTGTATAAGGTTTAGCATTTTTATTGTTGTTTAGGTGCCCACTTGATGTTTTTAGGTGCCCAATTGATTTTTTTTTTTAATTGTCTGTATTTTTCAAAACTTTGATCCTTTTGTTAAGTAACACTCCTTCCTTGCACACTTAGTTAACATTCCTCCAAAGTTTAATTGCTAATACTAAATGATTTATTTCAAAATAGTTGAGCAATGGTATATTGTTAATGAAGTTAAATTAAAATTTATATATATATATATATATATATATATATATATATATATATATATATTTATATGTATATATATTTATATATATATATATATATATATATATATATATATATATATATATATATATATATATATATATATATATATATTTATATATATAAATTTATGTTTATTAAAAAAAAAAATTTGTTATTCTTGCTTTTTCTGAAAAAACTGTAGGCTTTTTAAACTTAAAAGGTGCAAAATATATTAAGACAGAGTTAACCTGAACCAGCAAAAGTATTCTATAAAGTATAATTATAGATATAAATTACATTAAGTAGTTTATATTGACTTTGAATGTTGCCCAAAATTGTTATCCAATTATGTTAAATGGTCTGAAAATTGTCTAAAATAATTCTTGTAAAATTTTTTACATTTTTATTGTAAGGTTTTTTTGTAATGCTTAATTGTAAATGCTTACAAGAGACTTTAATGAATAATAATGCTTAATCAGAAAATTTTAAAGTTTTAACCAATAGTTTATTAACCAATAGTTAATAGAAAATTTTAAAAAATAGTTTTTAGTCTACTAGAAATAGTGTTGAATATGCTATTTTATCAGCATTTTGTAATTTTTTAAATATTTTTGTTCCAGTTGAATATTTTTTTCATTACTAATTATTAAATAATTTATTTTTTAGGCGTTTGGACACATGGAGATTATTGTACAATTAATAGTGTTACTGGAGGTATTGTTATGTTAGGAAGAAGGTTGGTTTTAATTGGAACATGTTTTAAACAAAAAAAAAATTAATTAATACAAGTTTTTGATAAATTTAAAATAAATATCTTAGTGATGGCGTATTAAATCCTAATGGTGTAAGGTTTGGTAGTGCTGAAATATACAATATCATCACAAAAAAGAATTTTCCTCTAATAAGTGACACTTTATGCATTGGCCAGGAAACTGGTAATGGAGAGCGTGTAGTTCTGTTCGTAAAAATGGAGACTGGAATGAGGTTTGATATATAAATCAAACACTTATAAATGTAAAAATATGTTATATTGAAAATGTGAAAATTTATTTCTAATTATTTTTTTCAATAAAGGTTGGGAGATGAATTGGTTAACCAAATTTGCTTTTTAATTCGTTCAGAATTATCTGTGCGTCATGTACCAGAAAAAATATTGCAAATAGCTGACATACCTTACACAGTTAGTGGTAAAAAGGTTGAAGTTGCTGTTAAAAAAATTCTCAATGGCGAAGATGTTAAGCAGAGAGGAACATTAATAAATCCTGAATCGCTTGATTTATACTATAATATTGCCGATCTTCGAATTTGAAGCTAAATTTTTTATTAGAGCTCAATTAAAATTTTTGAAAAATTCAAAATATAATAAAGCTTTTAAAATGTTATAAGTTTTGCAATTTAATTTATTATTCAAACAGTTTTTTAAAATTTTTAAACATTTTTTTCACTAGTTGCTTGGTTATTAGTTTAGTTATAATTTGACTTTGCGTTTAGTTAGTGTTTACTTTACTCTTTTTAATTTTTTAAGTTAAAAGTTCCTTATACTATTGTAGATTTAAGAAGAACACTTTTTCTTACTATAAATACATGGCTTTATTGTTGAAAAATTACATAAAAATACATGACTTTATTGTTGAAAAATTACATAAAAATAGATGGCTTTATTTTGATTTTTTATGTTTAGTGTTTTCTTAATATTATACATTTTATATTTTACTAAATTATATTTTTATATTATAGAAATAAATGATTGTTTTTAAATTACAAAAATATTCATAATAAAATAAATCTTGAATGTTGATTGAGTATGTAGGTTTTTTTATTATTATACTTATATATTTGTGTGTATGTATATATATATATATATATATATATATATATATATATATATATATATATATATATATTTAAATTATTCACCTCCCCAAGGCTCGAAAGAGTTACTACAGTTGAGGAGGCTACTCATTTTTTTTTTTTTTTTTTTACAATTTTTTTTCTGTAAATCGTGGTACAACCCTCTCTCAACTCTTTAACTCCAAAACACAAACCTTGACAAGGAAAGCCACTGCCCAGAGAAATTAAGTTGACGCGGGTACTTTCAAGGATGTGGTGGGAGTCGAACTCCGAACCCCTTGCATACAAAGGGAGTGCTCTTACCACTACACCACTACCACATATATATATATATATATATATATATATATATATATATATATATATATATATATATATATATATATATATATATATATATATATATATATTTGTGTGTATGTGTGCGTATATTTTATACAATATGTATTATTATATTATGCAATATTACATTTTATGTTATAATGTTGTGATAAATGCTCAAGTTTTCTGACATATGTGTATATATATATATATATATATATATATATATATATATATATATATATATATATATATATAACCCTCAGAATTAAGAAAATTGAGGTCGGCAATTATATGCTGACCTCATTCTTAAGAGGTTAGCATCAGGTCGGTAAAAAAATTTTGATACAAGGGCCTTAAATTATTGAAATGAGGTCAGCAATTTTTTGCCAACCTCAAACACTTTAGGGTTGGCAGTTAGGTCGGCATTCGCCAATGCCGATCCTAATTCTGAGGGTTGTATATATATATATATATATATATATATATATATATATATATATATATATATATATATATATATATATATATATATATATATATATATATATATATATATATATATATATATATATATATATATATGATGTATATATTTATTTATGATATATATATTTATTTATGATATATGTCTGTATAAATATAAATGCCTGTTTAAATAAACAGTGTGGCATCATACTGAAATAGCCTGCTGCTAGGTGCTTCAGTACATACGTTGACTATTTTATAACCTGCTGCCACAAAGAAGCGTTGATACATTGACTGAGGGTTTAGGATGGGGCAGCAATTTTTTTTTCATTTGTTTGAAAAAGCTATATGCTATAAATGTCAGCAAAATGAGTAAGCAATTAATGATCTATATACACTAGGGTAGATATTTAAATATATATAAATCTATATATTTATATATATGTAAATTATAGTAGTTTGTTGTTCAAATAGAATGCTTGATGTGCTTTAAGAACAGAGCAATAATAGATTATTAAAAACATCT